ACACACACACACACACCACTCACATACACATAATTAATTAATTGAAAGCATGTCTGGGCTGACACCTCAGACAAATCAATACTCCAGGCTCTGATGCCTTACACTGTAGGACTGGGGCTGCAGTCTTAACCCTGGAGAGCTCTGGAGCTAGCATCTTCTAGGTAAAAGAAGTTGCCTTCTGCTTTCATGTTAGAGATAGCATTCCATCAGTGTTCTATTCATGCAGATGGTTATTGATGCCTAATTTTAGGCACCAGATCCAACAATAAACAGAACAGGTCAGTCCCTGCTTGTAAAGAGGCAATGTTCCTAGAGAAACACATAGGAAAAAGCAGGTAACTCAGAGGAACACAGCAGGGAGATGAACATTGATAGGTGGTGACAGAAACCATCTGATAGGGTAGCGGTGACAGAATCCAGCCTGAAAAGGGGGCATGAGGGACCCAGGTAGAGAGAACAGCACTCTGTAGGGCATAAGGAGGCCTTGTAGTCGGATCACACCTAGACTTGATTCACTGGAGAGATCTGAACCAGGAGGAACATTACTCGTCTTACATCAGATCTAGTGGGGACTGGAGTGATTGTAGCATCATTCAGGAAGTGACCACTTGTATTTCTCTCAACTACAGAGTTGTTTTGATGTCACTAATAACCAGGCTCACATTGGTCACATCACTGTCTCCCTCTATGCTGGTGCCCTCAGCCCACCTGGCCATTGTTCTGCCTGTCTCAGCCTTCATTCCTTCCTGTTGACACAGTGAGCTACTCTGCTTAGTTTTAGTTTCTAGTGCTTGAACTTTGGCTTTATAGCCAGTTCCACACATCCAGCCATCTGAAAGATAAGATTTTCATGCCGTTTCCTACAGCCTTTCTTCTTCACTCGTGCACATGACCCCATCTGTTGCCAGTTTCTCCTCAGCTCCTACAGTTAGCCTTGCCCTGTTCCTTTTACAGAGAAAAGGTGTTGGCTTCCTTCTCCTCAGCCTCTTCTCCAGCAGGTGTGAAGCCCTCTTCCTGATCAAGGTGGATCGCTTCCAGACCTCTTTCCACTACCTATTGTTCCCTCT